TGACTAATTTACAGACTAGAATGATTGTTATGATTGCTATTATTCAGAAACTGCTGAAAATTAAACGGTATTCAAAAACTGGATCTAATAATCCATCAACTATTTATCTTCATTTGTTATTAAAATTTTGTAAATCTGATGAGCCTGATGATGAAGAGGACAACATACATAATATACAAGGTAATTAAGTTTATTTGTAAACATTTTTAAGATATTATTTCCCCTGAACAATACCTTGAGAAAACAGTTAAACGAGTTTACTTCCTGTCTTTCCAATGTATGTTCTTTGTCAGGACGTGTAAACTGGTCGACACAATAGCATGTAACGTAAAGTGAATGTGTAACTACTTTTGAACGTTTCAACAAGCAATCTATTTGATATATTGATACAAGTTTGACGGCTGGATCAGGGCTTTCCAAAGGACCGCTTAATGTAAGATCAATCTTGTCAGATATTTTATCATCCTTTCAGTCAAATATCTTAGAGGAAGGTTTTTTCTCCACTTTAGCAATATTCTATAACCTTTATTCTTCCCTTTCTACTTCTACCGACAAACTATTTTGAATAACAACTATCCCACAGACATCTTTCAAAGACATTTAATTCCTTTACTTACAAGAGGACATAATAATTCTATTTCATAAACGTACATAATTGTTAACACATAAGAATCTTAGGATTCCTATTACATATTGCCGAAACCATCATTGTCAAATAGAGTAATTCGGAATTATCGATTCAAAAGGACAATGTTTTCATTCCCCCAATTTGTCCTTTAAACCTCGGTTTTTAAAGTGTAGCTGTGCAACAATCTATTTTGGCAATTAGAAATTACTTTCGTGAGTTCTATCTCAGCTTTACTTATTTCGATCATATAATAAATCCTTTTTATTGTTGTAACTACATGATTCATAATATCGGTTTTTTCATTAACCTCTCTACATTACTTACTTACTTGGGCTTATCAGTGTCGTTTCTGTTGACGTTCAAAAAGCATAAAAGTAGTAGACTTCTGTAATGTTTCGTAGATTTTTAACTAGTCTATTATAATTATAAAGTTCACTGCTAATTGCAAATTCAGGAGAATAGAATGATACGGATTATTTGTTGAACCAAAGCAATTAATTATTATCTATTATTTTGGTTATAATGAAATGATGTTTACTTTTTATTTTATTACCATGTTTTGAAACAACACTATATAACATTTGGTGACTTAACGGTATTAGTAATATCTATTCGACAAATGAATTGCTTCATATTTTTCAATTTTTCAAAATGATTTCATTCTAGTTTAAAACTTCTCAACACTGTACACTTCTAAACGAAGTAATGACCTTTAAGTTTTGAGATAATCATACTACCCCCGAATCACATATTCAGTAGTCTACATTTCAAACTTCTGTTAGTTAGTCACATGAATCGATACCCATCAAACGCAATCTGTGAATAGCAATCTCAGTCACAATATGATTAGCTACCTAAGGCTCAGACCGGTGAGCAATTGTAAATGAGATCTGTACAGTGCTCTCTGGTCTCCCACAGTCTTCTAGCAGAGAATAGTTTCTACTACCCCGTAACTATATAAAGCTTTCATAAAGCCACCTAAACTGACAATGAATAAATAAATTATAAAAATACCAGTAAAATCCCACATTTGTTCAGTAAGAAAGGTACTCATCTGTTTACATTAAGCATAATCTTTTCGACGGATTTAATAAGGAGAAATGAGTAAACGCACCTAACATCTAGTATGTTTCGTACTTACATAAATGTTTTATAAATCAAACATCACATTTCACATGATAAATCTAGTGTCCAGTAAATATTATTTTTTTATGGTTGTCAATTTACAATTCTCAATTCATAAATGATATTTGAAGAGTAGTGTATTTCAGAGAGAGAGTATTACCGATTAGCATATCAATCAAACATATCTATAACAATATTCTTTATACAGTATACCTATAGAAACAATTCTGATTGACCTTTTCTTTACTTTATATAGTTTACATATAATCCTATAGGTATCGTTACCAAGGTTTGACTTGATAATTTCGAATAAACTGAGCATTGGATAGATTGTTAGAAATAAATAATACTTATGTAATATCCCAATGAATAGAAAAATTAGATTTTCTGACGTTTCGTGACTCGGTTTAAGTCAATTCTTCAGAGAATAAATCACCAAATCAAAATTAATTTTAATACAAATATATTATTAATTCAGCGAAAATAATTTACGTTTTATTCCTATTATAATTCACTAAAACAAAAATTACTAAGTTGTAAGGAATGTAATATTCGATATTTTTCAAGTAGACAAAATTCATAACTACGGAAGTGAATTTTATTTCCCTTCAGTAAATTATAATAATACTGGATCTAGAAAATGTAAGAAATTTACCTGTTGCATGCACATATGATATTAAGTATACTCATATATAAATGATGAAAAGAAAAACGTTTATAATCATGAAAATATAAAATGATCCATATTCAGACTATGATTTCCGGTTACAAATGTTAGCATGAGTATAATTTGGAAAAGGCGAGACTATAATTTATGGACAAGTCAATTAGAAGCGTGTGAGGGATTTCAAGGTCACGAAGCCAATTTCAGTACTTGATGCTCATGTACAATCGGTTCATAGAAGATTGTTGCGAACAGTATAATAAAAGCACCAGTAACAGTGTCGGCAACATTCGCAAATGTTACTGAAGCTTCGGCTGTTAAGTGCTATGAGTATTGTAGTGACATATGCGTAATAAAAACGACAAACAATCTTGAAGTTATGTGGTAGAGGCTGAAATAGTTTTCGCGATCTTATCATAACTTTAGAGGCCCACTATCATTGAGTCATATGGATGAGCTCCTATAGCACATGCATTACGATTTTGGAACCTCTGAACCTCTTTTTAACCTTGACAAGTTTTTGAACTATGTAAAGGAAGTGTATCCACTGTAACTCTTTGGTTTTGTATAATATTTTTTATTGTACTCACTGTTTTCTGATTGACTAATATTTCTCAAAGTCACTTGACATTCATTCGAAAGTCATCCATAAATTTAGTCTCGCCACATTATTTTGTGGTATGAGAAATGACAAATTCTTTCAGTACTTAAAATTAAGAGAACATTTGATAGTGTATCCGAATGTTAATCAAGTAAAAACCATCAGTTTGAGTTCTTTAAACACCATTTAGTTATAATGATGTCCTGTATGAGTATATAATTTACGAAATATTCAGGAACATTTTTCTTAGTCATCAATGTATTCAGTGTTAAGATTTTACTCATGACATAAAAGTGAATAAAAAGATCAAGTAACATGCAAGTTCTCTGTTTATATTCATAGAAATAACTTTTCTCTGTGAAAATAGTGTCACCAGACTTAATCAAAATTCGTTTCTTATTACAATTGTATCACTTATTCATCCGACCTTAGTATTAAATTACGAAACCAGTATTTGCCTATTAAATTTTCTATTTCCGCCCTTTGGTGTAGTAAACATTATGTTAGTATGCTTTACTATAAACTATGAGGCACCGATTACTGATGAAGTTCAGCTATATTAAAAATGAGAAAGTCACTACCAGTGATATTTAATAAATATCACTCTTACTTCTGGAATGATCGAATTTGGAAATGTTATCTACAAAATTAGGACTCAGTTGCTTATAAGTATGTTGCTCCATAACAATATCAAAGTTCCTCGGTTTATTCCAGCATTCGAATATATGTGTATACTCTTGAATTACAAACTAGGTGAAACATGTTTATAGTGCCCTCTGGCATTAAACAAGATGATGTCACTTGATGGTAAATATATTAAAAATGAAATCCCATTTGATAAAATGGTGGATTAGTTTTCTTTATAAAATGTGATAATATAAACTTTGTCATAAAACAAAATCAAAACCGAATAAGCAACAAACCCAAGTTCGTTAGTACAATAAATCCATAGAATTAATTCATAATTGTTGAATCATAACTAAGCATATAACTTTAAATTTTGAAACTGTCGCACTGCGTTCTAAACACAAACCTTTAAAATGAGCTATTTTATAGAAATCTCACCTTTTAATCTAAAAGCGTTTGACGTAGTTTGAGTCCATAATGTAATTCCCAATATGGTAACAATATAATCTATCTCATAGGAAGCCAAAGAAAATCAAACATTGTGTTCATTTCCAATTTACTATTCATTAGTTATTTATAGCCCCTTATCTCCGGAACCAAGATTCCTAGCTCATTAACTGTTCTGCTATAGAATCGTTAGTATTCTCCAATTATATAGTGTTCTTAGTGTCTTAAACATTATCTAAAACTGCCTTTTTCCACTTCCATCTTGGTTCACTTCATAAATCATTACCTTACACTACAACTTCAGTGGTAAGTTGTCAAAAACTGTTATTAATTATTGATAAACTGAATAATCTAATGGATTGTTTCTTCGAGAACCAATTTGAACTAAATGTTCTTCAAAACTAATTTTGTAGACGACACTCATGGTCAATACCCTATTTGCAGTAACGTAAAGTCTATGAACTTAACACACAACCGAAAAATATTCCACTAAAATTTTAAACAAGAACAACTACTCCCTCTTAATTTTCTACGCTATTTGATTTTTATCAACTTATATATCACTAAGTAGAGCAAATTGTTACAATCATGTTTGGTAAACTTTTATATACAGCACTTAAATATATGGTAGGAATACCCTTACATTCTAAAAATTACAACTTAGTACACGATCATATGCTGGTATTTTAATCACACTTGCAACATAACTTGGCGGATCCAAGAGGTTTAGAATTATTATCTGATACATAAAACTTTAAGTAATTAAATAACTTAAACTTTTCTAATAAGAATTTTCTAGATTAAATGTACAGAACACTCTTAAGCATAAAACTTCATAGATTACTTCGTCTAGAACTATGTGAAACTAACATTTATCTGATTTATTTATTATTCTTTTCATAATTTAGAGTACTTCGAAACAAAAAAATACATTCCTATGGAAAATTTCCACTAAGCCAACTTCATTCCTTTTTGGTACATTACATGTAGCTTATACACATGTTTGGTCACAAATTGATCCTGTAGTAAAAACAAGTTTTGCTCAATCAGATATTGTCTATTTTGAACTAGATTTAACTAATCCCGTTACATTAGCTGAATTGAGTGATTGCCAAGTGTTACCTAAAAATCAAACAATCACAAATCTACTTAAACCAGACTTAATTAAACGTTTAGATCGATATTTAAATAACCTTCGTCATATGATTAGTGTATGGATTGAACCTGAAAAGAAAGTTTTCGCATCATATCTATATGAGACATTGACAAAAGATTGGAAAGAAAAAAGACCTATATGGCTTTTATTATTATTAAATAGTTTAACCAGGAGTGAAATATTCGATCGAGGTGTACCCGTACTGGATTTATTTCTAGCACAAGAAGCCCAACGACTAGGTAAACAACATGGTGCAGTGGAACAAGTAAATGACCAATGTGAACCATTAAATCGAATAAATGTTCATCAGGTAATTATATATTTGTATAATTTTGTTTCTCAATGTTCTATTTAATGATAAGATAAATCGTTTTACGGTTAGTACAGTAATATATCAGTTAAACTCTATTATTAAATTTACTTATCGAGGTTAAATAATTAGAATGTTTTGTATGAGAAATACAAATAAAACCGAAAACTTCTAACTAAAATGTTTAGTAACATTAATTTCTAACTTCTTCAACATTAACTTGTAAAATATCAATGTTCTTAACATCCCTCATCTACCTAATAGTAAATAGTGAAGCAGAATTTCTAATCATTTAATTTAACTTTTATGTTGTATTGTATGGTCAATACAAGTAGTGCAATACTGAAGAGAAATAAAGCATAAGTCAATATCCAGTGAATTTCGTATATCTTTAGTATGTATACAACCCTTAACTAATATTGGTGAAAATTCTGTTAAATTTAGAGCTTAGATTCGTGATATACTGCGTACTACTTAAGCATCCAAACGCTAGAACCCTCCTAGTCGCAAATAAGAAGATAGAAGACGAGTGAAAAAGAATTTTGTTCCAAACAGTGTTAAATATGGTACAAAACTCTCAGATATTTATAGTTTTTAATTAAAAACGAAAACATCATCATAGTCATCCAATCCGCATACAGTGGCCTTTAGCTTTTGCCCAATGGAGAAGCTACACGTCGAGACTCTGGAATGTTCCACCAACAGATGCTTAGATGAAATGTCTTCGGTTCTTTCAGAGCTTCCTCGAGTTTATCCGTGGGCCATCCCCACAAATTCAATGATTAGTTTCTTTGCCTCGCTCAACAATGTTCAGGATTACGGATGAATTAAATAAGTTCTTCAACTAAAGAGTTAGTTACTAAGGAATTTAACCTTAAAAAATACTGCAAGATAACAAATAGGACAATCTAGCCTTTTTTGATGGAATACAATATTTTAATAAGAAACTACATGTAAATAAATCCTTCTATATAAAGAAGATATAGGTTACTGAAGCACAATAGTCTTTTAAAAAGTGTATAGAAATATTAATTGCAAACCACAAACCTGGTAGATATTATTCATTCTAATATATGATGTAATGTATATAGGATTCCGTACCGTTTTATCAACAGTACTATTACGTCAATCGTTCATTTTTAACCAAACGAAATTTATTTAATTAGTCTATAGACGTTTAACAGAAATCTATGAGAATATCCCGTTGAGAAAAAATTATTTAGGTAAGAACATGGAATAATTTCACTTCTACTGTAACTGATAAAATGTGATGATATAATATAAAGAGTTGATAAGATATGAAAACAGTTTGTAATTTATGTTCTGGAAAACAGAAACGGTGAAAAGTTGTAACGGCCAACACATTCTTGTTTTTAACATTGAGAACTGAGTTTAGTCAACCTGTGTCCAGATACGCTTAACCGGTTAATCCCAAACAAGATAAAATATGAGTTCTGGATTTCACTGCTGTTCTCTATTCAAAGTATGGTCAAAATATTTATAACATTTATTAATAAATTTAATTATGAAGAGCTGAGTAAATAATAATTATGATGGCAAGTTCGATAGGCAATTGTAAAAGATGAGAACACTGATATTACATATTTACCAAATTTTTTATCATACGAATGTTACTTGAAAGTAGATAAAATGAACTCATGTCGACAATTTTCCTGGTTCCCTTTTAAGTGAGTTCTCATTAATACACGTTAATTAGTGATAACTGAAACGATGTGAAATAGAATATTTTTTCGATAGCGCAATCAAATCAACGGTTTATTTAAAAATCAACAAGTAAAGTGATGATAACGTCGACATGAAACTGTGAATCCCCTTCAGAATATGGATACGTATGATCCCTAATGTAATAGATATGACTATATGTATTTATATAGGCTTGTGTAGCATTAAACTAACACCTCTAGTTAAATATTGAATATTCACCTTGTAGTGAACGAGGACACCAGTGGAGACAACCAAATGTATCTCAGTGAAACATTGTAGAATATCTTGGTAAAATCTGAGAACCATATAGTAAATACTTCATTTGCAAAATACCAATCAATCGTCTCAGACTTCATTGTTTCTTCGTTTACATACCAGTCATTCTCTGTTCTCATTCTATTTTCTTCGATCTTCTTAACCTCCTATCACCAGGCATTTCACTTCCGACTGATGATACATACTACTTATATCTGTTGACATCACTAGCACAAATCACAACCTCTTTTCCAAAAAGATGCTTACATATAAATCAATGACATGGTATCAAAGACTTTGGGAGAGGTTACAATTAATCAACTGCAATAGATTACTTGTGATATATCTGACTAGAACACTAAATGACGTAGGTTCCAACCGCACGAAGAGTATTTCTTTCTACAAAATTGCAGACATACCTGACCGAAGTGTGCCAACTACCATGAAACATAAGTCCATGGCTTCTTATTAATTCCGTCGAACCATTTTACACACAGATATAGTGCACATCATGTCGAATCACTTTGACAGGTGACCATATTCCAACCTAATCAACGCTAAGTAGTAGGTAAACACAATGTTGGTTACTACTTACTAGTCAAACTCCAATTTTTAACTTAAAAGAGTAAATCAGACAATTTTTTGCTTCTCATAAAGTTTTTTCCTCCATAAGTTTTACTAATATCAACTTTTATTTCAGGTAACATTTGCACTTGAAATAACATTGAATAATTTAGAAAATGCTAATCACCCTATGACACATTTGACTAACTATTTTAACAACGTTAATCATAACGATCGTGTGAGTAGTCATGATAGCAGTAGCAATAATAAATACCCATCAAACACGAAAGTTTTATTCAATACATGGAATGAACAAATAAATGATACATTAATTACTAATCAAAAACGTGGACCGATTCAACAAACAGATGTATTCAGTAGTCCAACAGAACGATTAATTGAACATTATAATTGCGGTGATTTGAATGAAACATTATCTAGAATGTCTTTAACCCAAACTACACCATCAGATTCTGTGTTATTGTCAACTTCGTCGTCAGATTACACTACAACAATGAATGAAACAAATACAATTTCTCCTATTACTATGATTCGTAAAAACGCTACAATACAACAACATAAATTTCCCAACAAGGTGAATAACATTTCGAAACCACATAGTTATCGTACCCAATCATCACCATCATCACAATCAACATCAAGTTACTTCATTGACAAAGAAATAGCAAACTTGTTAAGCCCAAGTCAAGTTCAAACGCTTATTGATTTGGAGAAGTATTTAAATGAAGAACTGATAGTTAGACGTAATGAGCGAATGGCTCATGAGATAATCAGTAAATTAAAACTTGCTGAATCATTAAATCAATCGGCATTTTTTGCATTAGGCGCAGGTAATGCAACCTTGTTTTTTAGATTTCACTGTCTCAGTGTAAAGATGTTTCCAAACGCGATTTGACATTATTTAGAGAACGAACAGAAAAAGAGGCCATTGGGTTGCTTCTTCATCCTACACTGAAACAATTTATCTCTATATAACGTCTCATTAAATCTATATCCATATTCTATCCAATCAATTAATAGTTGTGTTCACATAGACTACCGAAGCTCTGATGAGAAGTTATCACCAGTGGAGTTCAACCGTGTGGGGAGCGAAATAATCATTACTGACGACAGTGGCGCTATGCCAAAAACCAGCAGAAATTGAGAGTGTAATTATTGGATTGCATTTCATTAGTTTTAAAGTAGGGTGCTCTCCTCAAAAGCTAAAGATCCTGAGTTCGCCTCCTGGTGAAATAAGCTTCCCTACTGCTGGAGATTTATAAATAACGACGAAACATCCACCCGGTTATTTGTAATTTTAATGGTTCCTTAGTTACCGCCAATCAGTCACATTAAACTAAATATTATCCTTTTATTCATGCATTTCTCCTCCCTGGACCTAAAATACGGTCTTGTTTTTTTGCATAAATTTAAAATCAGCACTAACTAAGAAAAGTAACAGATGAAAAAACAATTTAAATAACAGAATAATGTTTCCCTCAATTTTTTATATGTTTATCGTTAATCACTGATAACCTCCAATGGGATTGAAGTCATGATTTTCCGATGCCACAATCCACGTAATTAGGCTCACATAATTTTGAGGCTTCTACTTAAATAAGAGAACTTTTAACGAAATCAACTTAACAAGCATTTAAAATCACCGGCAATTAACACTAGTAATAAATGAACTATCAATAAAATCTTTATATTATTTTTATTTGGATCATTTAATTTCCAACAAATAATCAAATAAAGTCAAAATTTGGAGTTGTTTCACACTATTTAATTTGAGATAAAAACATGATACCAGCCTAGAATTAAGATACCAAATCATATTAGGACTGTCAGAATGAAGTTGACTATCACATACTGATCAAAAAAATGATTCTTACTTCGAATATTTTCTTTATTAGAAATTAGAAACTGATCTCGAAACTCAGTAAACGCCTTGACAACAAAACTGAGCCGTTAGTAAAAATCCTTTAAATACCAGTGCCGATGACTACTCGAAATTGGTTTCAACTTTTTCATTACCTTGTCTCGTTTTATCTTCAGTAGGTTTCCAATGATTTCAAATAACTTGATATACTTCATTTTTCCCAATTCTATATTTCTGCAACGGAAATTCCCCAAATTTCACTGTTTCTCACATAGTTGAACAATTTTCTCATCACTAACTCCACTTTCCACCATCCTTTATCTGATTCATATTGGCTCATTCATCAAATGACTATTTTTCAAACATCTGGCCCTTAATAATCTTTTATTCTCAAACTAAGTTGCCAACATTTATTCTGATTATCTTTTTCCGAATATAATTCTACCTATAACTTGATTCAAGTTATCAATGTATTCATTATAATTCACTCCCTAAGTAGTGAATGAACACTTTGAGGTAGAATAAACAATCACACAGTGGCTTAGCAAAATTTGAAAATCACAAATTTTATTTACTCTGAAGTGACTTACATTAATTCACGAAACGTGATAAATGCAACTTTTATACTCACTGGGATATATATAGTAAATATATCATTGTTGTAATCTTGATTGCTATCAGTCCCTTTTTTTATTCTCTTTATTTCAATCTTCTCAACCTTCTGTTCACAGATAACCCCCTTCTGATTGATGTTACATACTACTTATGTCTGTCAACATAAGTAGCATACACCATGCCTACAACTATCAATTTATTTATCCTTATTTTCAATTTTAATATCATAACTTGTAAATAAAAATGGTACATACCATAAACTTATATGGTCCTGTAGAAGAGAACTTACTAGGTAATATTTCCTATGGAAAGTATTGAATTTATGCCATTAAAATGAAAGATCTTTGTATAAAGAGAATTAATTGTTATTGTTAAAATAATGAAAATGTTTATTTCCAATATTTATCTATTTTATTTTTATATTTTACAGCACATTTTATAGGAAGTGGAGAGACAATTATTGATCATTTACGTAAAGCTGGTTACATCATTATTCCAGTTCCACAACAGAATACAATGAGAAGTGAAGTGAGAATAAGTGAAATTTCAGAAAAACCATTAAAATTTGAAAAATTCAACAAAATGTCGAAGTAAGTGAATAAGTTATACATTCATAAATAAACATTTATTAGTAGAAAAAGAAGTTAATTTAATCTGTGCAATATAACAGAATAATACATTGAATCTATATAGTCATATCTTTGATTAACGAAGTAATTACCAGAAATTTTTCTTTATATGCAAATAAAGATTCAATGTATTTTATAGACTGTTAAATCAAATCAAGTTTTATTAGTAGTATATCTTATTTACAGTTGGTAATTGCCAATCACAACAGTATTCAATGACTTCCTAATTCACTAACAACATTTGACTTTTTCTCATTTAAAATACAACAAAGAATAATAGATGAGCTAGACTATACAAGGTCATATCTCTTTGATGAATCACAGAATATGTATTGACAACTTTCTTATTAACTGATGACATGCCACTGTGCTTAAAACTAAGTCATTCAGAGAGAAATAAGTGGATTAGTTTTGAAGTATCCATAGAGAAAGATCTATAATATAAAAAGGCTTCCAGTCATGTTGCCATTGCACTACTTCAGAGAATGCTAGATTCCCAAAAATTAGTGGATAAACTTATCATTTTTGTTATTTATTAATGGAAATTTTAAACCTATCATTCTCTAGCCAAAAGCACCCATTTTACTATTAATTTGTATTTCCCACCTGAAAGAAACTTAAACATCACTGGTTAGTTTTCTCTTTTAGTACACTATTTTGTGACACTTTTGTATTGTATATATGCGCACGAGTTGCTTGTTTGTTGTTATTTTAATCCCTCGAACATAGAAACTACTCAATTAATTTTCATTCACAAATAAAAGCGTATACTATATAACAAATGTTAGCAAATTTTATGACACTAAGAATCCACGGGGTTATTACATAGTTAACCCAGCATTCTAAACAATGATATTCACATCAGCTATATATATACCAAATTATTTTGACTCGTAATTAATTTGGCAAAAATAACAGATGAATTCCACTCATAGATTCCTGTTACTTGTTTATCGGATCGAATTTAATCTTTTTAATGCTATGCATATTGACTAAATAAAGGTATACAAGTGATCTCAAAGTCACCGATTATTGATGTTTCTGCATCTAACTGTGTTAATGTCTAACTTCAACCACTCCACGAAGTTGAGCGACAAATCCACCATTGTCATCAGTGAGTTACTATCTCAAAACTGACCCTGTTGAACTCCATGAGGCGGAGTAAAGGATGAGCACTGCTGACGAGTCCCACAACAGGACGAAATGGCCGTCCAGTACTTCCAGGTTTCCCATGGTGATCTAGCTTCACTTGACTCATAATCTCAACTGTTGAAATTACTAAAATCTCCACAAAACCCCTTCTGAAATTATTTATTTGATTACAGGCGATAAAGTTACTTTATTGATGAAAAGTTAACAAGCAAATATTGCGATTGGTGAAGATATATTTTCTCTAATAATTTCAGTATTTTATTTATCAAGGAAACAAATAGAACTAAACGATGGCATGTTTCCTATTAGAGAACAAGATGTCCCCGAATTCCGGCCAAAATACGTGAAATTTGATAACTCATGGATTAAAATCGAAGACTTTAAACCAAGGTACACATTTTACATAATTAATTTACACTACTTAAAAAACAATTCGAATTCATTAATTGAATAAATAAAGTATTAAAATGTGGATATTTATAGCCATCAAACTCTATTACGGTCAAAGGTCACATATAACTGTCCTGCTATTCCAAATAATTCATGCGTCTACGACACAACATTTTGAACTGATTGTGGTGTCCCCATAAATATGAACTTAAACAATTTGAAGTCATAATTATACGATGATCTGACATTGTTTGGTATGCTTGAACGGTCTAACTTCACATGAAATGATCAACACTTAGTTCAGGAGATTGGAAAGAAGCCCATAAAAACTTAAGCAAATACCCAGAAGTCCGTTAGCTAATCTTTAATTACCCACCTCATCTCAACCAATCATATTGGGAGATTCACATGAGTCCTCCAAACCTTAGTGAGGTTGAAAAATCCATATCTAACTAGAAGCAAAGTAGAAGAGAATGACCTGATAGATTAACTCTAGAACTCTTCAAAGAGAGTAGTTCACTACTGCCAGTTAAGGCGGCTAAGATACTAATTACAGTTTTGGAGCTGTGAGTGATTCTATCTGACTGGTCTTAATCGTTCCACCTTGAAAAAATGTCGAAATCCTTTTGCAGCAATAACAGAGGATTCCACTTAGCAAACACTGACAAAAATATTGGCTTCCACAATCTTCCAATCACTATATGGAGCTTCAGAAAAGCAAACACCTGGAAAGCTAGTAGGATTCATACCTAGACTTAGATGTGTTTGCAAAATCTTTCGTCAGGCTTTCGGACATACATAATGACTGGTACCTAGACATAAACGTGTTCCAAGACCTCAATGCAACACATGGCTATATTGATTAAGTGGTTTCATAGAAGCATAGTCTACTATAAAATTACCTAAATTTGTTGGCTTTTTATTCAAATGACAACCGTAATGTTAAGCTTTATAAAAAATTGGCATCAAAATAGGCAACGTCATCAGAGATTCCCACACTTACTTAACTTTATCAGACTTTTTGAAGGGTGGTCACCTAACGCGAAACACATTCGATGACTTAAAATACGTAGACAGTAGTTCCGCCTGATGAAGACCAGTTTTTAAAGACTTCTGAACAGATTCAGGAACGACACAACATATTTGCGATACACTTCTATCCTTTTAACCTTACAATTTTGACTCAAGATTTATTTGCGTCAACTCTCTAAACTCATGATAAAGAAACAGTCGAGGAGGTCAACAGCGTTACTTGTTTTAGAAGTCTCATCAGCCCACATGGATTGATAGCTCAAAGCGTCTCAGAGTAAGTTTAGAAAGCTTGCTTATCTTTTGCTAATTTGGATGACCTCAAATGGTGAGCATACTGCGAACCAGTTTATTGTGCATTACTTGGGGGTTATAAAACAAGATCTAAGAGTTAATCACAACGAAGAATCTGTACGTATATACATCGATCCAAGTTCCCATACTCCATTAGCACAGAAGGATGAAGATGTCACGACAAATCCCAGGATAGTAGAGGTAATATCAGTATCAGTCAGTCAGCAACAATGTAGGACTAGGCTCATATATGCATCGGCTCAAGTTGCTACACCTCATTAGCACAAGATCAACACGAAATTTGTAGACACAGTTACCTCAATGGTAGCACAAAATTAACATTTCATATAAGGATACGATTACTTACTTACTTGCGCCTGTTACCCCTCGTGTAGGAGTATGGGCCGTCCACTAGCACTCTCCATCCAACCTTGTCCTGGGCAATCCTTTCCAGCTCTTTCAAGTTTTTATTCACTCTTTTCATATCTGCTTTTACTTCCCGACGTAATGTGTTCTTCGGCTTTCCTCTTTTCCACTTCCCTTCAGGATTCCAAGTTAGGTCTTGCCTCGTGATGCAGTTTGATGGTTTGCGTAATGTATATCCTATCCATTTTCATCGTCTTTTCCTAATTTCTTCTTCAGCTGGAAGCTGGTTTGTTCTCTCCCACAGAAGGCTGTTACCGATTATATCCAGACAATGGATGTTGAATATATTGCGTAGAATACAAATTATAAATACTTGTACCTTCTTGATGATAGTTGTAGTAGTTCTCCACAATTCAGCTCCGTACAGTATAACTGTCTTGATTTTCGTATTGAAGATTCTGATTTTGATATTGGTTGAAAGTTGTTTTGAGTTCCATATGTTCTTCGATCGTAGGGAATGCGGCCATTGCTTTACCAATCCTCGCCTTCACATCTGCATCCGATCCTCCTTGTTCATCGATGATGCTTCTCAGGTACGCGAAGGATTCTACATCTTCCATGGTTTCGCCACCAGGAGTGATTGGATTGGTGTTCTCCTTGTTGTATTTGAGGACCTGTAGCTCTTCTAGAGTTACTACCGGTCCCAAGCTAACCAGAAAAATAATAAGGATATGGTACAGGAAGAAAAAATTAATCCGTAGAAAGAAAGATATAAAGTAGTTTTAATCTCATGGTTTAAGGGAAGTCAAAGAGTATATACACCTACGCTATTGTGATCAATTTTGAGCCATGTCATGCACAGTCTCCAACCATTGGTTACTATAGTTACATAGACCCCAACCGAGTAGTCTGCATCTACCAATATGGCTCAGACTAGAAGTTAGTGACTTCAAGCACTGATGCCACATTTTGGTTTGGCTGCCCCTAACATTCTTCCAACCATCTCCTACACTAGTCAGCATCGTGTGTTGTGGTAACCGGTTTTCAGGCACATGCAACATGTGGCCCAACCATTTCCGTTGATGAAGATTCACAACCTCATCAAATGACTTACCATCATTCCTTAATACCCTGAGTTTAACCTCACTATTACTTACCCGGTGATCCCAGTAGATGCCAGCAATATTTCTAAGGCATGTGTGATCAAATTCTGGTAACTCACGAATATCTTCAACTCTTGATGGCTTTGATTCGC